TGAATAAAACTGGTGCTGTTTAATAATAATGCTGCTATTAAATGATATAATTATTTATTTATGAATACATTAATTGAAATTATATTTGTATTTTTACATTAAAAAATTGTTAAAAACAGCTTTATTACATTATTGTTCTATTCTTATTCTTTCTATGATTCTTACTAGTTGAATGATACCGCGTCCAAGGCTACGTTCCGTTTCAGGCATATGCGCGCATTTTATATAGTGAGCGTCACGTATACTATAGGGGAATGCGCGCATATGCGTGAAACGGAACGCAACCCAAGATATTAATTCGAGACACTTCATTGGCTCTGCCATATTTTGTCGAAACCAATAGGCTGGATGACAACCTTGGCCAGACTCTTAGTATAGGGATTCTACATATATGTAATACTACTATATGGCTAGATGAGAGAGAAGTCCATGTCCCAGAACCACGGTGCGAGAATATACTTCTCTCTCTTTCTCAGCGTACTTTGAACGTTGTGCGCATGCGTCGGATTCATCCCCTCCATCAATAATAAATAGAAGGATAAATATACATATATGTGTGAAGAAGGAAAAAGTGATTGATTCCGCTTTAGGGTATAACCTTGTTACAGTTAACAGAGTCAGTTTAGTCGGAATAAATAAATTAATCCTAATTTTATGAAATAAACTTTTTCAAAATTGCCGTTATGTATATAAGAATACAGTGCAATCCCTTACAGAAATTTCATGATAATCAGTGCAAACTAATACCTATTTCATACCTATGCAAACTAATGTTTTCAGTCGCATTAGGCGCATTAGGCTTTTTGCCACATAAATAACATATCTTGACCATTTTTGCCTGTGTACAACAGCACACATCTAATAAGCATAACGAGCATAACCTGTTCGCGTCATCTCACTGATCGCACTCTATTTTCCTATTGGCGGATGCAATCAATCCAACGCATGCGCACAACACTCAAAGTACTCTTAGAAAGAGAGGGAAATATATATTCCCGCACCGTGGTTCTGGGACCGCTTCCTCTCACTCCCTCTTATAGGCACTAGCCATATAGTAGTATTACATATATGGGATTCTATCTCAGATGCGTCTGTCTCAAATGGCACGCAAACCGCCCCCCTCCTTTGTGCGCGACACCCGAAAAGGTGTGCTTAGAGCAGACCGACTTTGTGCGAGAAATTAATTGCCGTCTAGATCTTGATCTGTTCGTCCCTATTCTTGTTCTCGATTAAAGTGTCTTTGTTAAGCTCGAAGCTCGTCGAAACGCCGAAACGAACTGACGTTGTGCGTAAACCTATCTCATTATTGTTATAAGTGACTAATTAAGACTATCGCGCAGTTGTTGAGTGCTCACGCCGTCTCTAATCTGCCGTAATACACGCCGTGAATTTGGACATATATGCATACCTTGCCAAAAAAGGTGAACACGAGGGACTATTCAGAAATACCTCGGCACAAGATTACACAGTTTAAAGTGTGAAATAAAGACGATTAATATTTATCAATTTCTCGACCAAGCAGTGCTTTCTTAAATATATGCTCTTATTAAAGTAAATTTAACCGTGTGATTATATTACATCCCGCCTTGGTGTGCGAACCTTTCTGACAAAGGCGATATCAGCATCGCACCAATACATAATATGTACATACATAGGCGTGCATAGCCAGAGCATCAGCTACTCGAAGGGTGCCTTCCAACAAGCGACACACATGACACGGTGTGACACAGTGTATCAGTACGTCCTTGTTGTTCGCCAATGTTAAACAAGGATGAGATAATCACTGTGTCGCACCGTGTCACTTGTTGGAAGGCACCCGGAGTAAAACTTCCAGTAGCTGATGCGCTCCTCATGCGCTAATGGTGGGAGGAATCTGGGGAATTCTATGCTCTATACCGCGCGCATTAGATGTAACGGAACGATTGTCTATGCAGTCTATGCGCATCATGCGAGAAACGGAATGCACCCTGACGCGAGGTTATCTGCTTGGAGACACACGCTCCAGCAAGGCGCAAATGCCCGCATCTATTTACTATAAGTTCTGCTTTCTACCTAACTCTATTTCTAAAGCGGGGGGCACAGACTTTTGCATAACGCATAAAGCATGTGCATAAGGAATTTTATTGGCCCATTTTCTTATGCATGAGTCAATGGACCAATCAAATTCTTTATGTATATGGTTTATGCGTTATGCAAAAGTCTGTGCTCCCCGCTTAAGACTATTGAGACATGACCTGGCCGTATCCATGGTGTAATAAGTAAGGTGAACCATTGTGCATAATGGCGGAGGTCGTAATCTTGACCAATCAGAGTTGTACTATTTTGCGGCGCGAACTATCGATATATTTGAAAATTAAAGAGAGAAATAAGAAAGTGTAATAATTTTTAAAGGGGAATCATAGTAATTTTCATTAAAAAATCAACTTTCTTGTTGTATAAAATACTCTGATGTAGATATGGAAAATTAATGGCTATGCAAAGAATAACTCATGAGTAATTCGATTTTTCTAAATTAATTTGGCACAAATTTGATAAAAACTCAGAAGCTGCTTACATTCAAATACATTTGAATTTAGAAAAATCGTTTTGGCTCCCCCTGATCACTTTAGCTTCCCCCCTAATAAAAATATATATAAGGCGATTTTTGGCGTACTTCTGGTATAGCAACCAAAAGCAATCGTGACTAAGGCTATCTTCGTTTTCAAGGATCAGAAAATAAAGATAGTCTAATTGCAATTGCTTTTGGTTGCTATACCAAAAGCATGCCAAAAATCGCCTATAATAGAATTGTTAATAATAATAAAATATGTCATTTATTCAAAACAAAGAATAATGAGAACAAAACATAAAATGTTATTTATTCAGCCGACCAATTAATACGTTTGTTCTTTGAAGACATAAGCTTTTTGATCTGTCCTGGCGTAAAAACTGTACTCAACGTATCATATGCATTTTTTCAGCTTCATTTTCCATGTTCTTATTAAGTTGGAAGAACTTGTTGTCTTTTTCAATTAACTCTTTTTTTAGATGCTGATTGTCTTCGGTGAGTTGCGCATTAATATTATGTAACTGTGTACATTTGAGACTGAGTTTTTCATTTTCTTCTTGCAATATTTTTAGACGTTTCAGAGTCCTTTCCGTTTCATCATTGAACCGTTTATTCATTTGACCTCTGTAAAACATACATTAAATATAAAAATTAATATAACATAGTACACGAACGTGGGGTATTTAATATTTAGATATATTGCTATATGTAACAAATTATAAATACATACGATTGTATTGTTTCGGCACATTCTAATGACACGTCGAGTCTACTTTCCATTAGCTCTTCTTGCATTTCACTTTGAATTGGCATTGTACTGTTACTGTAATATAATGTTATTGATAAATAACACTATTACGTAAAATAAATACTAAAAAGAGTAATTTCAAACAACATGTAATAAATACTTTAGTAGTATTGTACAGTTCAGTCATTAATATAATATCGTTTAGATCAATTACTTTATGTTACGCATAATTTATATTTGTAAATATTTAGATATATTGCTATATGTAACAAATTATAAATACATACGATTGTATTGTTTCGGCACATTCTAATGACACGTCGAATCTATTTTCCATTAGCTCTTCTTGCATTTCACTCTGTATTGGCATTGTATGTACTGTTACTGTAATATAATGTTATTCATAAATAACACTATTATGTAAAATAAATCTTACTAATATGAATTACGAAGTATATTTTTAGTCCTTGATGTTGTGTTACATAACACAACTCAGAATTGTTTCAACACATAGCGAATTCGACAGACTGCATTAGTGCGCACCAGTGCGCACTGAATGCGAACTTTTTTGGTGCCACGCATTCGGAATGTGCGCACCGTATTAGTGCGCTTAGATTATCGTATTCAGCAAATGAAAACTGACCTAGTGTAGTGCTGAATTTGTATTCGGACCAACCAAATGAATCGAACGAGTGCAAGAAATATTGCACTGACATTTTTGTCAGTGCAGTTTGGTGTTCGGACAAATAAAACTAGTTAGGCAGCAAAAAATTACAAAAATGGATAAAGAAAGACTATTATTTATTATAGATAAATTATTAGAAACAAGTAGTAGTAGTAGTGATGATGAAGATATGTTATGTTTAATAAAAGAAGAAAGGCCGAAAATTAATTAAAAATAAAAAAATTAAATTATTATTATTACTATTATTATTTTTTTATTATTATTATTATTAATTAAAAATAATTGAACAAAGACAAAGGACAATAAGAGTCATATCGCAAATAAAAACAACACCCAGACAGCATGCTTGTCAGAATGAAAACTTTAAGAGAACTTTTTCAAGAGAACATTTAGTTATCTTTAAAATAATGTCTAAACGATATCTCATAATAATCATTTATTAGAGAATCTACCAAGAGAACTCTTTAAGATATCCGATTTGAGAGATGTCTTGAAATTGTTATCTTTATGATGTCATGCTAAATGATATTAGTTTGTTTTCTCATAAAAGATATCAATATGTTGTATGATTTTTGACAGTTCAGAAACGAGACATAATTATGATATCTTTTATGAGAAATTCATTTGATGTTACTTATTAGGAAAGATTCTGTTTCAGAGATGCCAGAAGGTTTGTAGATTATCGCGCCAACGTTCTGTGAATTCATAATCTTGCCATTCACTTCATCAGGGCGAGGAGTGCAGTGATACTTGTAGCAATTTCGGGTGGGATGCACTAGTGTACACTGGTGCATGTTAAGTCCGTGTACAATGTACATGTTCGTGCATATGTTATATCCGTGTACTGCCGCGGTGGTAGATTAACAGTGTACAACGGTTTTAATATGCACCAGTGCACACTTATTTTCCCAGCCGAAATCGCTAATAGATACGTATCAGTGCATTCCTCGCCCTGATGAAGTGAACGGCAAGATTAATTAATTCAAACCTGTAAACATAACCTGTAAACTCTCTTTTTAAAGAAATTTATATATTAACATATAACAGATTTCTTTAAGACATCATAAATATGAATATATATGTTAATCATAAAGATGTCCAATTTAAGAAATCTTTTAAATATCATTTTTGTGACATCTTTCTGTTCTCAAAAAACGATGCATTAGATAACATTCAGTTATCTTTATGTGATCTTTGAGAAGTTTCTCTAAGTTATCAGATTCAGAAATAAGATATCTTTTAGAAACCTTTTGGATAACATATTGTTATTTGGGCATAGCGGTTATAACATAAAAATATATAATATGAAATTAAATATGTGTATACAACAAATTAGAATAAAACAAAAGTACTTAGCCTCTTTTAATTATTAATTAAATTATTAATTAGTGTAGTTTTGCACTCGCACCGTGTCAGGGGAGCACCCTATCAGGGCAGCACCGTGTCAGGGCAGCACCGTGTCAGGGCAGCACCGTGTCAGGGCAGTACCGTGTCAGGGCAGCACCGTATCAGTGCATACTATATGTATCGAATGTGCCACTAGCAAAGACATAGAGAATGGACTGCACGATCCCGTATCTTATGTAGTATCAAAATATGTCGACGAAAATGAGAGAGAGGGTCCGTGGAAGACGGCCATCTCTATCTTTTTCCATTCCATGGTGTAATGGAAGACAGAATGAGAGGGAGATGGCCGTCTTCCACGGTCCCTCTCTCTCTCATTTTTGTTGACCATTTTGACACACGGATCGCGCAGTCCATTCTCTATGTCTTTGGCCAATAGTTACTTACCCTCTACTAATTCTTTGTTTCCTTTCTGTTTCAATATTCAAATATTCTGTTGGTACTGCATATTTCTTCAACCGTCGAATCACTCGTGATTGATTTTTCAAACGTTGTTCTGTCCATTGTTCCTCTATGCAGTTCACTAGAATATGTCGTTTACATGCTACATCTGAAAATAACGTTTCTTATTAAAGTTCAATATAATCTATATCTCTATGTCTCTATATCTATTATTTTATAATTCAGTTTATAAATTTGCATTATTAATTACTACATCATTACAACAGTTATGATCATAACTCAATCATAAACTCACTGTATGTTTGTTTCAGCTCTTCTTCTTTGTGTTTGCGGGCCTCAAGCCATTTCCCTATAGGCGCAAAATATTCCTAAAATGTTATATGAATATTATTAAAAAATTAAACTATTTTTATTTTAATATTCTGAGAATATTATATAACATATTTTAATATTATGGGAATATTCTATTAGTGTTATATGTCCACTTCATATAATATTTTTGGTATTATAATTTTAATATTCGCGGAATATTATTAAAATATTATTAGAATATTTTCAAATATTTCTTTGTATAATATTAAGGAATATTATTAAAATATTATTAGAATATTTTCAAATATTGCTTCGTATAATATTAGGGAATGTTATTAAAATATTTATAGAATTTTTTTAAATATTTGTGGGATATTATTGAAATATTTGTAGGATAGTATTAAAATGTACAAAATATTATTAGGTGAGACATTTTTTTTACATATTTAATGAAATATTTATCTACATATACAATATAGAAGAAATAAAGGGCATATAAGAGTCAGTATATAACTGAGATTCGTTTATTTTTATTTATATTTATCTGCGTTAAACATTTTTATTTTGTAAATTGTTTAATCAGAATTTTTATTGTACAATAATTAAGAAAATATGCCATTAAATGTATACATTGGAAATGTTTTATTTGAATACAAATATACGAATTCTATAAATACATATATATGTATATATTGACAAACTTAAAAAATAAATTTCTCTGTATTATATTCGTTATGCAATAACGGTAATACAACAAATTTATCTTTATATGGTAATACGAACATTTTATTTTTAATTTTGTTTAAGGACCATATTTTTTCTTCCGAAAGCTGAGAAACGATATAAATTTGAAGTAAAGAAGATTTACATGGAATTGTAAATAAATTTTCTTTTTGTTGGAATTTTTTCCCGCAAAAAATTGGTTCTGCATTTTCAAAGTCATAAGAAAACTTTGTAATAATTACAATTTTTCCATTTGTCAATAAACAGCAATTATCATTGATTGTATGTACTCGAAATCGATAATTAATTGAAACAGCTTCTGTGTACAAAGGTCCTCTTTTTTTATTGGGTAAAATACAACAACCATTTTGCGATTCGCTGACAATTGTAAGTTCAGAAGTACGAGAATCAGTTTCTTTTACATCGGTATATTTTGTTTCATGATATCGATTATACAATTGCTGTAAAGGTTGCGCATACTTTTTGACTATTCGTTTTAGGTACTGTAAAAAATTTTCATATTTAAAGGCACTGTAATTGTCTAATAGTCCAAATGTTTTTACATCTTGTATAACATGTATCAATCCATGCAAGCATATTGCAAATTGCACAATTTCTGTAAAAGAACAATATAGAGTAAAATATAAGACACATAACAACAATATAGTGTAATAATATATAGGGTGTACCAAAAGTCTGGCTACACCCAAATATCTCATAAACGATGCACACGTGCACTCACGCACACAAAGAGATGTAAATCCGACTGAGCAACCTCCACGCGGTACATCTTAAATAATTCTAATACCAGAGGTATAACTCAGGAAGTTCTCATCGAAAACGACAAAAGAGTTTATGATATGTATTTTTAAAACGTCTTAACATAACCTACAAGAATCTGAAATAAAAAGTAGGGAGTTTAATTAATAACCATTTAAAAAAATTAAGTTGACCTTGATGTGACCTTAACATTATTTTAAGTCAAATAGCTACTATCGTTAAATGCATCTTTTTGAGCCTTACAACTTTTCTTTGAAACATTTTTTTCTAAAATGCATCGTTTATGACATATTTGGGTGTATCCAGACTTTTGGTACACCCTGTATATGAATATAGAAACGGCAATACATAATTTATACATTATAAATAATGTACGTGTTACATTTATGATACGTATTCATTGCAAAGGTGGTGGTCATGAAAGAAGTGTGTAATACAAAGCGACTTTTTACACCATGAACAAGTAATTATAGCAGTTATGCCACAAATATCACAATTTACTTTCGATTTACTTTGGAAACAAAATTCAACTGCTTGTTTGAAATTCTGATGGTCTATTCTGTATATATCCACTTTTAAACCACGCAAATTTAAATAAATTTTGAAATCTAGGAGATGAGAATTGATGGTGTGTCAATGATTGCAATTTTAAGATATTATTTCTGTGAAGATCAATTGCAAGATTTAACAGTATAACGGTATCAGAAAAATGTCTAATAAAATTTTTCCATAATCGGAAGCCATATACATCTAATGGCTGTATTTTTCCTGTCGTACCAGCCGGAATTGTTAAAAAAACGATGTTTGTTGCAGATTCAGGTTTAGTTTCCGAAATTATATTTGGACAATGTCCACTCCATGAATCTAATAATAATACAGATTGTGGTCCGACATTTGGGAAAAATACTTCTTTCAACCAAGTTTTTACATGATTTGATGTTAATTTGCCTGATTTAGAAGCCGTAACAAAAATATTAGGTGCTTTGAATAAATTTTCCTGCATTCTTGGACCAAATGTTTCTGTAACTTCTCGTAATACTATAAACAGAGGCGACAGTAATCTACCATCAGCGGAAATTGTCGGTTGTGTAGTGTAACTGTGTGTTGTTGCTGATATAGATTGTACTACAGTTTCTACCTTCTTGACACCTTTTTGTGCTAAGGTACGACCAGAATGAAGTTCAAATTGGAAACCACTCTGATCCGAATTATAAATATTTTCCTGTCCATATTGATGAATGTAGTATTTAACATTTTCGATAAATGTATCACACTTATTTTCTAAATCTTCTTTTGATAACAAAGACTTACGTGTTACAAATTTTGTTATTTTTCGAGACACTATATCATATTGTGTTTTAAATCTCTTTACCCACGTTTCTGAAGCTTTATCTTGTGCTCGAGAAGCCCATCGAGCGATATCTATGTCATATATAATTAACCCCTTTTCAAGTGCTTCAATGAAACGATTTAATGTATATTCAGCGATTCGTTTTAATTTTTCAGATCTGCTACCACCTTGATCGATTTGGCTCTCCCATCGTCGTAGTTGTCGAATCGATGTAACTTTCCTAAATCTTTGTTTAACTCCTTCAAGCAATCTTTGTTTGGTTTTGGCACTTTTCCAATATTCCACGGCTTGCCTTTTATATTCACTTGATATTGCTTCTTCCTACATATAAAACTACAAATAACTTCTTCCGGAAGATATATCTCTTATCTTCATTTTCCTCCAATAAATCCACTTTTTCAGCTTCTGGAAGCTCATATGCATTGTACAAATCTAATGTTTCTTCTTCTTCAAATTCAAATTCATTTTCCATTTTTATTTCTTGCAGCATACGTTCAATTTTATTTTTCACGTGTTCTTCTTGCGGAGTTATCGGACTTTGTGGAAGGTTAAAAGCAGTGAAAGTTACATAGAGTAACATTATTACGTTGTATGGATTAAATTGTATCATTCTTAAAAAAAAAATACAATTAAATATAATATTTAACTTTTGGACTTTGACTACATAAAAAATAAAACTTACTTTAAAACTACGGTAGCGATCTTTCAATTAATTTTTATATTTCGTTTCTTTCTTTCCACTTTCTCAAATAACAAAGATATGTAGTGGTCCTTTTAAATCTTGAGCATGTCGAGACAATTGGAAAAAGATGTACAAATGTATATACAATTAGTTATAAATATTCTGAAATATGAAACAAATATAACAAAATTAAATTTTTTACCTGAACATAATTAATAAAATTTATAAAATGTCGTTAATAATTATATTTTATTTACAGCAAAAAATAATCTTTTTTAGACAATGTAGACAGGAAATTAAAGAATAATATGAAAAGTGATAGAAGATAATGTACCATGATGACAGATAATTTAATTAAACGTTGCACAATTTCAATGAAATAATATCCAAATAGAGTAATAAAATGATAAAAATTAAAAATCAATACTAACGTATTAACACAATAATAATGTACAACACAGTTTACTATTATCAAGTTACTGTTATTCACTATTATTCAACTTAATGCTTTCATGAAGCTCAGTTTCCGACTATAGAGGCTTATATACTACTAAATTTTTTAGCAAGACGAATGAATGATTACATTTTGTGTCCTAAAAGATCAAAAAAGTTGTTCGTAATCATGAACTTTGACTATTGATACACTTTGACGCACTATTTTAATACTGTAATTCATTTAAGTCCTTGTGTACATCAAATAGTATACAGGATGTTTTGCCTCTACTGAAAAAAATGCAGTAGAAGCGGAAAATCGAGCGGAAAACTTTACGTATTTTTATCGACTTGAGACGGATCTCACGCAAAACAAAATACATAAAAACAGGATATCATGTATCATCCACTAACAAACATAGAGCGTCAACTAAAGTTCATAATACGAAAAGATTTTCCCAAACAAAAATTACGATAATTCGATCGTGTTACGTAAAGTGTTTTTTGCTGATTATTCTACTAAACGTAAAAATCTCATTTTACGCTAAACATTCAAACATCGAATGTAGTCAGTATGTGTGCGTAGGTCGCAAAATTAAAAAAAATTTAAGAACAAAAATTAAAGAACATCGGATGCCGAATCCATTCATGTACAATATAGTAATGTTATGGTTTCACGATATCAATATTTCAGAAAACGAGATGATAACGTGCGTGGCGTCTGTAACACGACTATCATCTTGATTTTTGAAAAATTGAATCGTGGAATCATAATATTATTATACATGAAAGTATTCGGCATCCGATGCTCTTTAATTTTTGTTCTTAAAAATTTGTTTGCAACCCTTATAGGTGAGGGTGGGGGTTAATTAAAAAATTTGATTAAAAAAAAATGAATACACTATTATATAGAGCATAAAATACTGTAAAATTTTTGTATAAACCATTTTTTTATACGCGGCATAGTTTCGAAGATATTCGCTGAAAACGAAAAAGTCTATTTTCTTCAAGGGGGTGTTTCACCCCCTAAACCTCGAGATACGCCGCTATAAAAAAATATGAGTCGAATATTTTTTGATGCTCTATA